CTCGGCTCTTAGGGTGCTCTCCCCACGTGCCCTGCCTCCAGGCCTCCCTGGGGCCCTCTCCCACTCCCCCCTTCACCTGGTTCAGGGCGACATTGAGCCCAGAGACGGGCCAGGTGCCCACCCCTGAGAGAGCTCACAGCCTGCTGACCTCCCCTCGTCCCCCAAAGAGCAGCCGGCGAGGCTGTGCAGGAGCAGCAGCCCCGTGAGGTCAGAGCTGTGCTGTGCGGGCGGGCGGCATTGCATCCCGGCATCCAGGCCGGGGCCGCTCATGGCGGGCGCCCAGTGAATGTGGGAGATTGCAGGAGCGGGCAGCGGGGGCCCGAGGGGACTTGCAGACTGAGGCTGTCTGTCACCGGGAGCCCGGGGAGGGGGTGAGGACAGCAAGTGGGCGTGGCTGCTATGTGGCCCTGCTGTCCACTCTCTGCTTGTCATCAGGACCTCAAGGCTGGACAGAGAGGAGGGGCGCAGACATCACTGCGGGAGGAGACATGCCCAGATGCCAGGGGTGCCAGCTCAGCCCCCAGTGTCTGCAGAGCAGTGGCCCAGGGCACAGCAGGCTGCTCTTGGCTGGGATGAAGGCAGGGGCAGGGGAGGGGAGAAGCAGCCCAAGGAAGGCAGCTTTCAGCCGCTATAAGAACTTTCTAGCACTTAGAGATGCTCCTGACAGCTGCCTGACATGGGGGTGGGCACCCAGGCACTGGGCCGTCAGCAGAGGCCGGTCAGAGTGAGCTGAGGGGGAGGCAGGGATGCTGCTCGGCTCTAAACCTCATCTCAGACTCTTTGGTTCCCATCTGGCCCCGCCATACTCGAGGCCACTCAGGCTCTGCCAGGAAAGCAGGACTCTCAGTGCGAAACCAGGCAAGTCTTGGGCTACCTGGGGTGCGATGGTCACCCTACTAAAAAGTGTCTGCGGGAATGCTGCCCCCGCCCCCCAGGCTGGCACAGCTCTGGTCCTCACAATGAGTTCCAAGGTTGGCAGAAATGTTCTGGACACCCCCTGCCCCGGGAATGTAGCCTGCACAGCTGGGAGAGGCAGACGCGCAGCCCTGGGCCAGGAATTCTCTGTGGTGATAGGCCAGGCCAGCTAGAGGCCCTCTCACTTGCATCCCTTCTGTAGGCCTCTCTTTTCCTTTCTGTGAAATGGGGACGTCAGTGCACAGTAGCCGGAGGAGTGACACCCATGGTTTTCTCTCCCTCTCTGACATAGGAGCAGCTCCCTGCTTTCTTCTCCGTGGCCTGAGGCCAACTTCCAGCCTTGCTCTTGCTGCGGAATTTAAGGGTGGAGTGGGAGAGGGCAGGGGGGAGGGCAGAGGTGGCATTTAAGGAGGCAACAGTCCTCCCGGTGTCTCAGCTGGTGGGCAGAGGGTCAAGGGCCCACCCTTCACCAGTTCCTTGCATTGTGCCTGCCCCAGCTATCCCAGTCTGCTCTTTGTCCCCTGCCTGCTCCCACCACCCCAGCTCCCTGCTCCTCAGCAGAAGGGGATGGGGAGAGCCGGTGGGTGGGTGGACTGAGGTGGGAGCCTCTTCCTGGAAAGACAGACCCGGAGTGTGGAAGCCCCTTCGAGGCACAGACAGGGGTCCTCCTGTCCCTCAGCGGAGTTGGGGGTGGGGAGCAGACGGGCTAAGGAAGGGCAGCATGAAGCCTGGGAGCCAGGCACCTCGTCCTGGGCTGACCTCACACTGACCTTGGGCTCCTCTCGGGGTGGCACAGCCTCCTTGCTGCCAGTGGCTTTGTGGCTCGCATGGCAGAATGTGCGGCTCTGCCGTCTCAGAGGAGGTCAGGGGCTGAGCTTGCACACAAAAACCCTAACACAGGGCTAGTGTTGCACAGCTTACCGAGGGCTGGGCCTCTCACCTTGTTCTTTGTCACACACTCCCTCCCTGAGCAATATGCACATTTCCTCATGGCTTCCACATGTGAGCATGCGCTCTCTCTCTCTCTCTCTCTCTCTCTCTCTCTCTCTCTCTCTCTCTCTCTTGTGCATACACACCTTCATCTGCAGACACACTTTCCGATGTCCCATGCACTCTCATACCCCCATGCCTTCACATCCTCATGCACACACACACATACGTACACCCCCACTTCCAGAGCTACCTGCTGAGGGAAAAGGATGGAGCGAAGAAGAGAGGGGTGTCAGGGTGAAAATAGCTGGAGTGGCTTGCTCCCCAGCACCCATGGGACTCAGAGGCCCTGAGGAGCAGCAGGTGGGCACCCACGCCCTGTCGGTGAGGAGTCCTGAGTGGATACTTCCGGCCCCGGCCCCAGCTGGCTCTCTCCTCTGCCTGAGCCCACAGGAAGGCCAGGGGGCCCTGGCTCACCCCCCTGCACAGCCCGGTTCCCGCAGTGGCTCAGCACTCCCAATTCCACTTCCCTGACACTGAGCTTTCGGCCTCTTTAAAATGCGGGAGGAAATGAGGTGGGGAGAGTGGAGGGGACTCGCCCAAGGTCATACAGAAAGCGGGAAGAAACCAGATCTCCCCAGAGAGGCTGAAGACGGTCTGGAAACAGCCTCCGTTCGGAGCCGGCTGTGTGCCTGCCCTCCGGCTCTTCCCACCCTCGGCCTCAGCCACCCGCTCCGGGCATCGGCTTCCTCCTGTGTCAACAGCACAGTCTGGCCAGGCTGCGCTTCCCAGCCTCTTTCCTGCCCCATAGCACCGAGAAACCGTGGGCCTCACCCCCAGCTCTGAGGGCCTTGGCTGCTGGGACTGCTAGGTTGTGCTCCGTGTGGGCTGGGAGGGGTCCTGGGGCCAGGGCCCTGCAGACCCTCCTCACAAGCCCTCCTGACAGTCCCTGTGCTGCCCAGCCCCCCAGCACCCCTGTCTTCTCAGCTCTGTCCCACGGAGGCCCTGGTGAGAAAGAGGGGGGGAGGTGCTCAGGCCAGAAGGTCCTATGTTAGAGCCATGACATGAAACGCTCCGTAGGAGCCTGTGCTACCCCCAAGGTAGCGCTCTCTGCAACAAACAGGGTTCACCGGGAGGGAAGTCAGGTGGGACCAGGGCCCCAGCTCAGGCCTCTCCATCTCCCCCCTCTCCCTCCCCTCTGCTTCCTGCTCAGCCTTCTTGCTCAGGTTCTGGCCGTAACCTCCATCCTAGTCCCAGAGAGCCTGGGCTGATGGTGTCCACCCCACTGGGCAGAGCCCTTGGCGCCAGCCCTCAGGATTGGCTGGGGCTGCCTAGGGAGGGCCACGTGCTCGTCCTGCCCCACTCCGCTTCGCACCCTCCGGAGCATGTGCGCAGGACCGCACAGCTAGAAGGCACTCTGAGGGGCCTGGCAAGGCCTCCGGAAGAGGGCAGTCGGAGCTCGGTCCTGAGGGAGAGGCAGGGTTTCAGAGAGGGTAAACGTTCTGTTCATGGCTCAGGGAGGCTGGCAGTGCGGCCTGGGCAGTGGGGTACCCATAGCAGAGCCAGAGTGAGTACAGGGCGAGAAGGGGCGGTTGAGGGTTCAGATCGGTGGGAGGAAGGAATGGGAGCAGAGCAGCCGACCAGGACAGAGGTCGCTTGGGAGATGGAGGACTGGAGTAGGCTGTGCATCCCCAGAGCAGAGGGGCCCAGGCTCACAGTAGGAAGGCTGCTATGGCGTGTGTGGCATGGCACAGTCAGGGGTGAGGAGTGAGAGGAAAGCGAGGCGTGGAGATAGCAGCTAGGGACTGCTATGGGGGTTCATGGGTGAGGAGGGCCCTCACCCCTGCATGCTCTGCACACCTGCGATGGATGGCGGGTGGGGCTGCCCAGCACCTGGCTCTCCTGGAGTCAACAGTGTGAGCCGCTGCTGCCACGGCTCTCGTGCAAGGTCGCACTGCATTGACAGGTGACATCTGTCCTGCTCTGCTCAGATAACAGCCAGAGGGAGTTCGCCTTTGGACAGACATCAGTTAACTGCCAGGTGTCTCCTGGAGAGGAGTGGGTGGAGCCGGGCTACAGAAACCAGGCCACGAACAGGACGACGGAAGGAATTCTAGACTTGGACTTGGAGGAAACAGGGTGGTTGTGCTCAGACGTTTGATGGTCTGCTCCAGGAAACAGAAACTCTACTTGCCCTGGGCGACTCCGAAGGCAGGACAGCCTCAGAGGGGGAGGCGGACAAGAGGCAATTTCCAGCTCACATGAGGAGAGGTTTCTGCCCGGGGCTGACCCCCAGGGCTGCTGGAGACACAGACAAGCATGAGAGTCCTGTCACTGGCAGTAACGCAGGCAAAGGATGGAGCCTTGTTCTATGTCTGTCACACCCAAGGGACCCTAAGATGTGGCCCCTGGGACCCTGAGAAAGGCATGACATGATCCCCCTGGGAAACGTGGCTCAGACAAAACACACAGAAACCGGTTTGGCTCAGTGGATAGAGCGTCGGCCTGTAGACTGAAGGGTCCCAGGTTCGATTCCGGTCAAGGGCATGTACCTTGGTTTTGGGCACATCCCCAGTGGGGGGTGTGCAAGAGGCAGCTGATCGATGTTTCTCTCTCATCGATGTTTCTAACTCTCTATCCCTCACTCTTCCTTTAATAAAATATATTAAACAACAACAACAACAACAACAACAACAACAACACGCACACAGAGGGAGCTGTGGTTCAGATGCCAGCACATCCCAGGCTGGTCCCACCTTTCTGAAAGAACGTGGGCCCAGTGAACGCTGCCTGGCCATGGCACAGGGAGCAGCTTGTCCTTGGAGGAATGCCACGGAGACCAGATGACCTTGGGCAGCAGGGCAGGGGCAGGGAGAGGGACCAGCGCCAGGCACGAGGAGGGGCTGGGTGTGAGCAGACGACCTCTGCGGTTCCTCCCAGGCCCGAGCTCCTTGGCAGAGAGAAACCCGCAGAACGCGAAGCGGCACACAAGGTTACGGAGGACGGAGCGGAGATCCCAATATAGCCGGCGGGGGAAGGCGGCCGCGGCAGGGAAAGTAGGTCCCCTGAACAAATGAGGCAGGGCATGAAATTAACCAGGCTGGAAAGGGCTGAGCTCAGGGACTCGTTTTTTAAAAACTGTCTTTTAGCAAGAAAAACGAGGGGAAGAAATTTGGGCGATGAAGACGTAATGAGGATTGCGAATGCATCTGTCGACTGCCAGCCAACCGGCAGAGCGGAGCCTTCTGGAGGGCAAGGAAGAGATGCAGCTTCGAGGCTGGGGTGCCCCTGCGAGCCGTCCCTGGTGGAGAGGAGCTGGAGATGAGGAGCAGGCGACAGCATTGGGGGCAGCCCCTTCCGGCCCACATCCCGAAGGCTCCCTGCACTGCAGCCCTTTAGCCAGTCGTTCTGTCCCTCATCTGCCCGCAGGCCCTGTGCTTGTCTAGTCTATCCTACCCTGCCCTCTGCCCACCTGCTTTCCTCACGGGGCGTGCCCTTTTCTCCCATACAATGGGGGCTAGTCCATAGGACTGCCGAGACACGGGGTGGTCCCTTGAATGGTGAGTGTAGGAGCTGGCTGGGGCACCCCAGGATGCTGTCCCCATGCTTTCTTGGGAAGAGTGGATGCTGTGCTTGGTGCCTGGTGTGCCAGGGCAGTTGGCCATGCCCATGCCTGCTCAGCGGGCCTGGGACTCCCCCGGCACAGGGGCTCTGCTGGATTTCTTCTTGGTCTTCCTAGCCCCCGGTCTGGTACCATGGACAGAGGGCATGCCAGGCGGATGGATGGTGGATGGATGGCTAGGTTGCTAGATGGATGGATTGATGGTTGGGTGGATAGATGAATGAATGGTTCGGTGGGTGGGTAGATGGATGGATGGGTGTATTCTACCTGACCATCTGGCAAAGGACATAGGTAATTGTTAAAACGATTCTGACCTTCAAAGGGTGGGGAAGGTGGAAGAAGAGGAGGAGACAGGGAAGGAGAGAGAAGAGGAATCAGGCTTCTAGCTCAGACCTGAGCTACTGGGTCACTGAAGAAGAGGGCGCCTTTCCTGCCTCCTCCCAGGGCAAGGCTCCTTGGCACTTGCCGTTGGGCTCTGCCAAGAGGTGACTGAGCTCCAGGAGCAGGCGCCAGGAGAGGAGAACTGTGAGGCGGGGCTCTCAGCCAGGGGTTCCCCTGGTCTTGTGTTCGGGGGAGTAGCTCAGGGGGTCATTTGGGGTCAGAAGAGGTGGCAGGGCCTGCGTTTGAACCTCTGGACTCCTGCGCTGTTGCATTTGGGTGGGGCACCTGCTGCTGCCAGCCTGGGGAGGCAGTTGTCTCAAGGCCCAAGCACCCTGCTCTGGTGGCTCCACGGGCCCCTGAACCCCGAAGCTCCACAGCCCCCACTACTATGGCTCAGGGCTGAGCTGAGCCCCTTCAGGCACTAGCCCCTTCCCGCCTCCCCCACCGCAGGAGGTAGGAGAGATAACTGGAGCCCAGGAACTAGAGTGCAAAGCCGCAAACGAGTCCCCACTCCCTTGGGACCTGGTTGCAGGGGGGCCCCACCCAGCAGCCAGCCTGCTTCTCCGGGGTTCTGGATGCTGAGCTGGCAAAGAGCACTGCCCACTTGGGAAAACCCTAAATGATGTCATGGTCCAAGCCTTGAGAGCCCTTCCCACCCAGTCAGATCCTCTGGTCCCCCTGCTGGTGCGCGCGCACGCTTGCGTCCCCTCCCCACCCCATGTGGTATACCCGGAAGCCCAGAGAGGGGAGGGGGATCATCCAAGTTCACACAGCACAGGGGAAGCCAGAAAAGACAAACAGCCCCCATGAACCCCAGCTTTCTCACGTCAGTGCCACGGCTCTCCTGGGACAGCCCCCACTCCTCTGAAACCTCCTCCCCTCCCCCATGAACCACTCTCTTCTCCGGAGAGGCGTGGGAAAGGGGTTGGGGGTTGGTTAGGATGATGCGGAGCTCAGTCGTCCCAGTTGCCATGTCCCCCGGGCTTGGTCAGTAGGCAGGCCAGGAATGTAGGCCAGACAGCTCTCCGCTCTGACTGTGCTGGTCCTCCGGAAGTCCAGGTTCCCCGAAGCCCTGCCACAGCCTTCTCCCTGCCGAGGATGGGGAGGTGGAGTGGGTGGGCTGGAAAGCACTCCTAGGGCTGCCTCCTATCTAGCCAGGGTGCCGCCTAGGAGCCTAGGCCACCCCAACAGCTATGCTGTGGGCCTGAGCAGGGTCCTCCTGCACCCTTACCCAGCCCAGCCAGCCCCCCCCCCCCCCCCCCTTCCCAGCCTGTTCTGTGGCCCTGCACGGTGGCAGGCCCTGGAAGAGGTGCCACCAGCTGGATTCCTCCGGAGCTGCCGCCAGGGCCCCGGAAGGCAGGGGGCGGAGGGACTAGAGGCAGCAGGGCGGCTCCTCTGGGAAGGGAGATGGGAACCTGGGGGCACAGGGGAGCCTGAGATCCAGAAGCCACTTCACACTTGGCTTGTTAATTCCAGACTGATTTCAGCTCCAGTCTCCAGGAGCCCTCCCCTCCTTCTCTGGTGTGGGAATTATTCTTACAGCCCAGCTCTCCCAGCTGCTTTGGCTCAGCCCTCCTGCGGAAGAACAAGCTTCGGGGGCCACAAGGGGTCCATGCCCAGGGCTCTGTGTAGGGAAAATCTTATCCCGAAAGGAAGTGTGATGAGAGGGGAAGTAAGAAGGTTCTTAGCTCCAAATAACCCTCATACCAAGAGGCCCAGATAATTCCACCATTAGGGAGTCCTTCCTTTGGATAAATTAGGTCAACAGCACAGCTTCTGAAACATGGATGCTCAGGAGAAGGAACACTGGTTACGGCCGTGAAATTCCAGATCCATGTGTGAGAGGCATCGGAGGGCTCGGGGCATCAGGAGAGCTCTGTGTGAGGGCTGGGAGGAGGTGGAAGGACCAGGGCTGGGGGAAGAGGGTTGACTTGGTCCTCAGGTTCGTTTCCCCAGGATGACCTGATTGAAAATTCAGAGACAGCTGCTCTCAAGGCCTGGACCCCGGGGATGGCCACAGAGAGAGGGGTCTCCAGGAGCCAGGCAGGGCACAGGCTGCTGGGGACATGTGGATGCTCCAAAGAGGCACATTCCACCTTAGCAGGAGAACCCTCCCTCAGCGGAGCTGGGCCCCAATGTCTGCCATGGTAATGAATGCTCCGTACCTGGAGGCATACAAGCCGAAGTTGAGGCCACTAAAGAGGGGGCTGTAGAGGGGGTTTGAGTGAGTCATGTTGGTATTCTGAGGGTCCTTCCCATTCTGGGGGGCTGGAAGGCTGGCTTTGTGGCCGAGAGGGTGACAAGATGGGGGAACTTCCAATGGCCAGGTACCCATGTGTCCCAGCCCGGAGTCAAGAGCAGCCACAGCCTCTGATGTCGCCACAGTCACGTGAGAAGGCACTATTAGCTGCCCTTTTTAGTTGGGGACGTGGCAGCACACGCGGTTAGGGGACTTGTACCAGGTCACCCAGCTGGGGCTCAAGCTTTGTCTCCTGCTTCCAGGCAGAGGGGCCCAGGCTAGGAATGGCATTGCTTCAAGTGTGAGGAGGCTTCTATGAAGTCAGGAGGGCTGGCCTGGGGCGGGCCATACTGCAAGGGCGCCCTGAGCTCAGGTACCCCATAATGCCGAGGAGGCAAGGCCGTGGTTAGGTTCTGGGACCTGCTGATGTCACAAGCCAGGCACACCCTGCCTGGACTGCTGGCCTTGGCCTCCCTGACATCCTGCCTGGGCTCACAGTCCCGCCGTGGAAGTGGGCCCGTGACAAGTTCTGAAATCCTGGCTGGCTTCTGCTCACAGCTACTCCTGTTCTGATTCCCCCCATGTTCCTGGCATGTGATGGGTCCTCAGTTAATATTTGTTGAATGAACCAAAGACATTGTATGCACATATGCATAACCCATGGACACAGACAATAGGGTGGTGGAGGCCTGAGGCAGGGGATGGGGGCGGGCTATAAAAGAGTCAATGGAGAAAAAATGGGTCATATGTAATAGTTCCAACAATAGAGATTGCAAAAACATATATTTGTTGAGTGGGTGGGTGGCTGAGTGAGTGAATTAGAACCCACTCCTGGCTCAGGAAGGCAAGTCAAGTGAGCCCTTCCTCCCTCTCAGAGGAAGTCAGAGGGAACTGAGACCATCTCAGTCCTTGCTCTGCCACAGCTGATCTGTGGCCCTTGGTGAGTTGCTTGGTGTCTCCAAGCTCAGATCCCTGGGAATGGCGCTGCCTGGGGAGAATGACTGATGATCTGCAAGCGCTGGGGATGTGGTGGGCAGGGGTGCTGCCCTTTGCGAGGTGCCTGCAGGGTGAGCCACAGCAGCAGTGGGAGCCTCTCCGCTTCCCCCGGGGCCGAGGCTCACACAGCTAGAGCACAGTGTAGTCCTGAGGGGCTGGGTGGGGTGTCAGGGCCTGGCCTAAGGACTGAGGGGTGCCACAGAGGCCTGGACTGGGGCTTGGCTGAGGATTGGGCCTGGGGCTGGCTCCAGCAGTAGCTGAGAGCTCACGCTGGATCCTGAGTGAAGAATGTAATCAGGGACCAGGCAGAGCTGGAGCTGAGTTCTCAGACGGGGTCAGGGGTGGGCTCAGAGCCTGGGCCTGGCCTCCGGGCTTTAACCCAGGGCTGGATCAGAGGCTCTCTCAGGGCGGGCGGGGTCAGCCTGGGCAGGGGCAGGTTTCCTCTCATGGGAGCCGCTGGGAGCAGCTCTGCTGCCCTCGCAGCACCAGCCAGCTGGATGCGGGAGGCTTTCTGAGGGCATTGGACCTAGCGGTGTCCTCCTTGTTCCCCAGGTGTCCTCAGGGCTACTCGGAGACTTGGGGACCATTTCTTCCTGCGTGTGTGTTGTGCGGGGAAGTGCAGGAGGCCTGTTCAGCTAACACTGACTCTCCCGACGCTGAAGGATGCATGCACCATCATCATTTCCCACATTGCACAGCACTTTATAGTTTATAAAACCCCCTCCCTACCAAGCGTCACTTCATAGTATGAGAAGAGATGATGCCCGTTTTACAGATGAAGAAAACAGAGGCCCAAAGAAGCTAAGAAACTCACCCAAGACCACTCAGGAGGTAGAGGCAAAGAGACAAAGCTGGAAAAGTCTCTAACTTCCTGTCTGATGTGCCACCTCACAGCTGCCTGACTGCCACCAGTCCCTGGTGCCCTTCCCGGTATGCAATCCCCAGGCACTCATGCCATGACCCTGCTGCCCATTGAGGTCAGCAAGCAGAGCCTGCCCTGCAGTCCTGCAAGTCTGTCTAAGTTGCCTCAGTCATCAGCAAGTCACATGGCTGACATCGTGACTGCATAAAGTTAATTTATTTAGTTCAGGAAGGTGTTAATTAAGAGTTGTCATTTATTGTGTCTTTGCCGACAGCTCTCAGGGGCTTCTGAGTTGTCAGTGCTGGTGATAGCAAAAGCTAATGGTATCACAAGCTATTAATAGAATGATTTTAGAAGAGGAGAAGGCAGGAGCTATGGATATGGAAGGAGAGAAGAGGTGGAGGGAGGAGACAGGATGGTCCCCTACTTCCTTTTTCATAAGTGGGTTCCCTCTGCAGGTAGATCCAATCACAGACATTATTGGGAGAGTCAGGGTTCTCTGCTAGGCCCTGTGGTGTCCACATTTGTTGGAGGAGATAAGACATTGAAAAGGTGAGTGGACTTTGGGCCCTGGAGAGTCACACCTGATCATGTCCATCCCTACTCTGCTGCTGCCTGTGCCCCTGTGCCCCACATTCCGGGTGTTTGCCCTGAGAAATGTCTGCTCTGTCATAAGGGCTCTTTTTTTACTTGCTCGGTCCCCTTACCCTAATCCTGAGCATCTTGGGATCTGGATAGTGAATGGGTTAGCTCTGCATCCCCAACCCTTAGCCCAGAGCTTGGAAAATCATGAGAGGTTAGCAGACATTTGCAGAATGAATAAGGGGTCCTCTGGTCCCTCAGTCAGTCTCGAGGTCTGGCCTTGTTGCTGATAGACTTTGAGATATGGGAGGGAAGCATGGGAGACAGACTTTCCCAGTCCCCCAGGCCCTCTCATCCTCTTTAGCCCTGCAGCCCTGGAGTTCCCCACCTGGAGAGTAGCTGGATCCTTGCTGATGAATGTGGGGCAAATGCGTAGATGTGGGCAGTCGTGTGTGGGGAAGTCTTGCCAGGATTAGAGGCATGGTTGGGAAGCTTCAATAACTTCAGCATGAGGATCCACCATGGGGACAAGTGGGGAAAGAAGACATTTAAAACTATTTTAGCTAAACAATGGTGTCTGCAAGGAAGCCACTTGGTGGAATGGAAGGAACATACAAGGAGCTCAGAGCCCCAGGCCTGTTGCTGGGAGGATGAAAGCTCTTTGGGCCTTAGTTTGCCCATCTGTGAAATGGAGTGATGGGTTAAAGCTGGCAAAAGTCCCTTCCAATGCCTGATGAGTTCCACTCCTCCCTCCCACATCCTGCACAACCAATCTGGAGGGCACCCCCATATTCCAGGAGACACGCTGGGATGTCTTCACTGCTTACAGATCCCCTGGAAGGAGATACCTGTATTATCCCCCTATTAAAGTTGGAAAAAGTGGGATTCAAGTAGGAAAACAGGGGCTATGTAACTTGCTCAAGGTCCCAGGTAGGCTTAATCGAGGTGGGTGCTTTTCCCAGAGCTTCAGTCATGTCCACGGATCACCTGGGATGGATGGGTACAAATAAGACCCCAGTTTAGATGCTGGCTGACTGACAGGGCAGCTAGGACTGAGGGGAAGAGGAACTCACTGGGCCCAGCCACTGGGCCACTGGAGCATGGCAGGGACTAACCACAGCCAGCACCGTGAGGCCCAGAAGCATCCATCGGAGCTCTCTCATCCCACCTTCTTCCTCTTATCCCACAGATAGCTCATCATTCAACACACCTTCATTAGGAGGCTGGCCTGACAGCTAAAGATGAATGAGCTCAGCATTTAGGGGAAGAGGTGGCCTCATGAACAGAGAAGTCCCATGACGGATCACAGGGACTGGGTGGATGGGGGTTCAGGTCTGGGGGCTCCTTGCAGGAGGGTTCACTTTTCAGAGAGCAGTGGTCAGGAATGTCTTTTCTAGAGGAAGTGGCCCTTGAGCGAAGCCTTGAAAGGTGGATAGATGCTCACCAGGTAGAGGGGTGGGGCTGTGTGGTGGGCTGCCAGGTGGAGGGAGCTGAGTGGACAGAGTCCTGTGTGAAACTACCTTCTGGCTGAGGCATATCCTGAGGAGAGGTGGGCACTGCATGCCAACTTAGAGACTCTGGGTATCACCCGGAGGGCACTGGGGAGCCATCAGGGGATTTGATTATAAAATGGCATCCACACCTTGATCAGATCACATGACACTTTCCTGCTCTGGGCATTGAGGATGCTGCTGACAATGGGAGGATTCTTCTAGGAGCAGGTCCTGAAACAGGTATTTACGAGCAGGAACGTTAGGAGGTAAAGAAAGGCAGCGAGGCCATTGTCAAACCGGGTACCTTGTGGGTGAGTGGAGCCCTGCCTTGCTGGGAGCTCTGAGAGCTGGGACAGGACCAGCTCCTATGCTGGATTACCCCTAGAGCGAGGAGGCTGGGGTATTCACCCACCAACTTCCCTCAGTCCTCAGTTGAAGGCTCCTCCCAGGAGGTGCTTCTTTCCCTGCATTGCTGGGCTTCCCTAGCCATTCAGCAAGAGGATCCCAGCAGTCCAAGAAAACCCTCAGGCAAAGAAAAGAAGATGCTGGCAGTTGGCAGTTGAGCCAGCGTGCTATGAAGTGGTGAGGGTGAGGGGATATGGATAGAGCGCCAATAGCATCTGCTGTAGTGACTGACACTCAATGCACTTCCCAGAAAGGAGGGCAGAGGGCAGAGGTCAGTTTCCACTAAGTCTCCATCATCCACCACCTGGCTGAGGAGACTCAAAGGTTAGCTGCTGATTGACTCAAAGGTCAATCGCTTCCATGTGCTCCTTCATCAAGGACAGCCTAGGACTGGACCTCAAGACAAGAAGGAGGAAAAAATTCAGTCCTAAGCTCCAGCTCTGGTGAAATACAGGTCTGAGTTCAAGTGCAGATTGCCACTTATAAGCTATGTCCTTGGACAAATCACTTAATACCCTTGAATTTCATTCTTCTCTGAAAATGGGAAAATAGTACCTATACCATGGGATTATTGTGATCAAGAAGCAAAATAATGTGTGGGAAGTATATATGTCCCAGTGCCTTGAATACATTGTGCCAATAAATGTTTGTTATCATTACTAGAGGTCTGGTGCACAAAATTCCTGCACTGGGGGAGGGGGGTGTCCCTCAGCCTGGTCTGTGCCCTCTCACAGTCTGGAAGTCTTCAGGGGATGTCCAACTGCTACAGAGAGGCTCCTGCTACCACCGTTGTGCTTGCCAGCCATGAGCCCAGCTCTTGCATTGAGTGTCTGTCCCCTGGTGATCAGTGTGCATCATAGTGATGGGTTGTTCAGCTGTCCAGTCAATTTGCATATTAGCCCTTTATTATATAGGATTATTCCAGAACTTCATAAAAAGAGAGAGGGGGAAATACAGGTTTGCAGAAAACACAGCCAGGTTACCAGCTCAGAATAATTTTCAGTGACCCATAATGTCTTTGGGAGTTAAAGAATAGACTCTGGTAGCATTTGTGGACTTTGTGAGATCAAATTGACTATTGGCAAGTGACTTTATATCTTTCTTCACATAGATACTACATATGACAATTACTCCTTTGTTTATGTCACCTGCTTCCCCAAGAAATCAAGAATTCATTATCTTGGCATCATTTTATCTTTCCCCTTTCATCTTCAGATTGCCCCTGAAACAGATTTTGAGGATGTGGAGCAGAAGTAGGAACACTGAACAAGGAGTCTTTATTCAGGCTCCAGAAGGAAAGTCAGACTCTTCATCTGGAATGTGGGGATAAAGCCACATAATCTCTGTCTTCTCCTAGGATTGTTAGAATATCACATAAGATTATGAGGGGGGAAATCATGACTGTGCAACTGCTTTGAAAACCACCAATCACCATCCAAAGTCAACACCAGGGACAAAGAGCTGGGACTAGAGCCAGGTGGCTGGCTTGCTTCTTGACCTCAGGCCTTCTTCCAAGCATCTAAGTAATCATGGCCATAGAAGAAGCCATGTCTGGAGGAGCCATTGATGTCCTTTTGCCACATTAAAGATGGCTCAGCTGGGCCTCAGGGCAAACAGCCTGGGAAGAAGAAAGGGTACTTGGGAAATTGGTCCTTGGAAGAGATGCCTGAAGTTTCTACTCAGGAACATCAGTGAGGATGTTCTCAGCTGACTCCTGGGGGTGATAGTGGCAAAGGCTGAGGACTATGGGACTGGTAGTTATTCAACTGGGAGGTGGGTGGTTATCTGAAAAGGGTTATAACCAATTGGGAACAGGTTTCCTCATTTCCTTACAGATGCAGGGACATGAAGGATGTGGCTAAAGGGCCTCCTGCCCACACCTAGTCCATGGGAAGTGGGAAGCTGTTCAGGTTGGCAGCACTGGTGGTCTGCAGGAGGCCACGTGGCCTCCCCTTCTCTCTGACTGTAGCCTGAGCCACACTGGGATTAGTTTGGATCTAGCTCTTGATACCAGCAGAGTGAATGGTCAGTTGTGGTGTTTTGCAATGTGAAGTCATAGTGGGCTGGAAAGATTGTAGGGCTGGGGCTGGGGGCCCAGGATGAGGGGTCTTTGCTTACACAAGCAGGTCTGGATCTGGAATCCCATAACTCAGGAAACCATTTCCACTGTCTCCCAAAGAAGGAAAGTCATGGGCCCCAGTGGGGCAAAGAGAGGAAAGAGCACATTCCCTATCTTGGGATGTCTTGGGATTCTTTAGAAGAGGCCAATAATGCCAGTGGGTGGAGAACACCAGTTTGATGCATTGACATCCTCTCTGACTTCCTGTGGCTCCATAAAAGACACCAAAATGGACAAGTCTCCACTTAGATTACAATGGCTCTTGTGGGGCTGTTTTCCTTGGGGGAATTCTTCTGTGACTTCTTGATTGGAAAGGTATAGTGATATCGAAGGAGGGTTCTTGGTGCTTTTCAGAACCCCTGATGTACCTGAGACAGTCCTGCACTGAGGACCAGGTCTCATCAATAGCTGCTTCAATGCCAGGGAAGGCAGTACTGAGAAGTTCTTGTTTAGGTTCAAGTGCTGGTTTCCATTTTAATCTGTTTTCAGCGACCTATTCAAGTTGATTTCCTGAGATCTTATTTTATTTTCCAATGCAAAAACTAAAAAGGAATTGGTTTATTTTGTAATTTAAGTGCAAAGCTTTCCAATTTGTGGCTTTTCCAGTTTTATTTCAATAGTTTACATCCACTTAACTCTGAACTCAGAATATGCCTGTGAACTGAGATCACAGAGGAGGTCCATTTGGGAAGACAAGAGTCATAGCAGCCAGAGATTTAGGGGAGGAGATAGAGGGGAGGCAAAGAGAGGAAAGCCAAAGAATGGCAGTGGAAGGAGGATCACCCAATGGGCTGGAGAGAAGAAAGGAGAAAGATAAAAGAGAGATAATAGGTGAGGAAAAAATGAGACACATGCAATCAGATGTGGGGACAAAATATTAGGGGAAAGAGAGAGGGAAGCAGAGAGAGGGAGACAGAGAAGGTGAGGCAGGAGAGGTGAGGTAGAAGAAAGGT